AAAGTCAGAATAGAACACTTCTCCACGCTAATACAAAATGTGTTGGATAGACTTACCATTTCCGGTCATGACAGAAAGTTAGCAGAAATTACCCAAATAGGTACATAGCAGAGGTGTCCCTAGGGTTGGTGTTACCTGGTGCGGTAACACGTGGCGTCACCCCTCCAGAGAGGAAGGAGCAGTGTCAGTGTAGTGGTAAAATGAGTATCCCGTCAAGATATGTATCCCCTGAAGCAACTGCGCATGTGGCGGTTTCAGGCCGAAAAAGCTGATCTCCGACTTTGGCACAGAGCTGCCACAGTTAACCCCTTACAGGCTGCAAACCGCTGAAGCTGATCCTGCAGATCACTACGGGTTGCAAGATCAGTTAACCCAGTGAGGCACCATAGAGTGCTATGTATACTCTGATGATAAAAAAAAAAAAGAACCAAAATCTAAGGACTTGCAGCTGTGCAGCAATGGGTAGAGTTGCAGAATGTAAATTGCATCTCAAAAGAAGCAAACCCCACAATGAGATAAAAGTAAATATAAAAAATATAATTCTGCAAAATCATTACATATAAATCATATTGACAGAACACGTTAAGGTTCACATTTCCGGGCTGGTCGTGGGTATCGCACCTGTTCCCGCATCCACAACCACCTGAAGCCAAATCATGCTGCGATGGATTCTGAATGGAACCCCCAGGCGGGGTGAGCCAACCGCAGGGAAACTGCATGGACCATGCAGTTTCCCTTCAGCTGCGTTTTCAATAAAATGTATGCACATTTTTTATCCAGAAACACAGGCACAGCAGCCCATTCAAATGTCCGAGGAAACATGAGCCGCATGGCCCGCAATGGTGTGAACGAGCATTAAGGAAGACTATATTGGTCTTGCCTCAATTTGATTTACATTTGTTTTTAAATTAATTTATATTTTGCAAATAAATAACATTTTTTTCTGCCAAGGCCAATTTTTTTTTTCTTTTTCGCACACGTGATAAAATTCACCTTTTTTTTTTTTTTTTTATTTTTTAAAGAAAATGCACTTAAATCCCCAAAACATGATATATTTGCTGAAAGCAGAGGATCCATAGAATAAAAACACAGTAGTTGCAATATTTTATTTTACATGGCATTAGCACAATGGTTTATCAAATCTATATTTTCAGTAAAAAATACATTCAAATCAATTTTAGTGCACACAAACACAATAAATATTTTGTAAAATACAAAATATGAAACAGCTGAGTAAATAAGATACCAAAACTGCATGTGCCTGGAACACGGAAACAAATTACAATACCCAAAATTGTCTCAAGGTGAGGCTTTAAAAACCTTTACTGGTCATCAGCTTAGAGTTGTACATCCCAGATGGGCCTAGAATTATTCATCTCATTTTGGCATACTCAGCGATATTCAACATACGTATACATTTTATAGCACTTTTTCCATGACAGGTACTCTTAATGGACCCCTGATGCCTCCCCTGCACTTGCGCAACTCTGAATGAGGACTGTGCATCCTTGATCACTCCTTCATCCAGCTCTCCTAACTAGAAACAGCTGAGCACTTCCGGGTTCATACCTCACTGGACAGATGGAGGTACGGATGTTCCCACATCTCCCTGTTTGCCATCCTGAAGTGTGTTCTTTTGATTCCAGGCTTCCAGAAGCAGAGCCTGGGGAAAGAGGTCAGCGTGTCTGGGTGGGGGGGAGGGGGGCACATTCAAAAGCACTATTGAAGCCATTGTATAGCCACCAGATTCCTTCTATATTATGTCCAGCAGCCGGCTTTCAAAAAGTAAACAAACCCACAGCTGTTACAGTTTACATGCCATTAACACAGAAGTTAGATTTTTGGCAGTAAAAGGGTTAATGCACAGTGCCCCCATGACCCTAGATTCACAGAACACTAAAGGATTTCTCATCAGAAACCACAGCAGGTAACAGAGGTGCATGTTCACTTTTCAAAATGAATTTTCACTTTGCTTAGTAGCTGATGAGAAATGAAGTGAAAATTCTCATTGCAAAGAATACTTGGTCATGTGCCAGAAAAATGAAAATGAATTTTTGCCTGTACATAATTGAATAATAGCTTGTACTGACTTAGGCCTGGTCCATACTAGTGCGGGCCCTGCGGCCTGCGTTTGCTCGGGTATGGCAGCCCATTCATTTGCATGCACATTTTTCAAAATGCATCCGCAGGGAAACCGCAAGGTCTTTTTGACCATGCGGTTTACTTGCGGTTCCCGCACCTGCGATCGTGCTGTGGGCTGAAATGCGTGGGAGTGCCCTTAAGAATGAATGGCAGCCTCGCGGGTCTCGTAAGAGAAGCGCGAATCAGTTGTGGGTATAGATGCGATTCCCACAGCTGGAACACATAGTGTGAACCTGACCTTAAGTGGTTCAATTTGCAAACTGAATTTTTATTTAGCTTACTGAATGAGGTCAAGCTAGTCTAACTTTAATCATTCACTTCGGTTCATACAAATTTTTTTTCCTTTTCTTCGCACATGACTTCATTGCAAAATGACTTTTCACCTTTTAAACCAAGATGATAAAAATTAACTTTGCAAAGTGAACATGCTCTACTTTGGTAAATCACCCCCATGGGTTACCGTCACACCCTCGCTCTCTTGCTGACTGAAACTACTTGTCACGATTTTGCCTTAAAAAAAAGTTAGTGGTCAAACCATATGGTGTGTAGATGAAGGAGGTTTCTGATTGAAACTCCAGATGGCCCCTCTGAAAACAGCAGAGAGGGGTAGGAGTACATTACTCCTCTGTCTCATTCACTTGTTTATGTGTATATTTAAGCATTTTTCCAATGATTACATTGAATATTTTTATCATATTATACTATATATGTTTACATTGAAGCATTCAACAAAATTATAGCCAATAATTTATAGTTTTACAACCTGCATATCAATCATATAGTAGTACTCAAATGCTTGTAACAATTAGGTTTTTTTTTTTAACGAACAGTAAACCATTAAAAAGAAAAATAAGGATATATGCCTGTAGTGACAACTCCTAATTTCTGTAAAGAAAAATATTAAACATTTTCTGTATATTTTTTTTTTTTTACATAATCATTTAAACAAAATGCAACGACTCTAAAAGAGTACCAACATAGTCTTAGTAATATGCATATATTACATTATCTTATTAGCAAACTTAGATATGTTACAAGAAACAGGATTTTACTATCATTTAGTGGTAATAATATAAGGTATGAAGACAGAATAATGATTCATTGCAATGTACATTGGGAGACAAATGACCACAATAAACAACAAAATAGATTTATAAAATAGAATGCCAAACTCAGCAAGCTAAAGTGAATTGCTAGCCAAATATTTTTTACAGGTTTTTGAATACAGAGGGGAAGGGTTAAAATTACTGTCAAGATTTTATTGCTGACTGACTTACTGGGGAGCTTTCCCTTCCCTTCTTTTCTTGTCCCAAGTGATATGACAAGAAGTGAGGGGAAATCCCGTCTTAGAATGTTGCCACTGGAATAATGTTTTTGTGACAACTGTAAAATTTTTGGATTTTCCAGCACCTTTTACCTCCATAATAATGGAAACCAGGACCAGGAGAAAAGGTAAAACCCCTTGGTGGGAAAAAAAACAGCAATATAATCCTGACACAGGTTCTAGCCACTGTCTTCTCTTACCAAAACAAAAAATTTTTTAGTTTTGGCCTAAAATAGACTGCGTTTTGAAAATGGCCTTGCCCCAGTAAGCCACATACTGTAGATGTTTCATATTCTATTCAATGATTAAATAGTAAGAGGTTTTCTGAGGCCATAGCACTTAACCACTTCCAGACCGGACACTTTTACCCCCTTCCTGACCAGGGCAATTTTCAGCTTTCAGCACTATCACACTTTGAATGACAATTGCGCGGTAATGCAACACTGTACCCAAATTAATTTTTTACCATTTTTTGAGACAGATAAAGCTTTATTTTGGTGGTATTTATTCACCACTGGGATTTTTATTTTTTTGCTATGTAAATGAAAAAAAGTCTCAAAATTTTGAAAAAAAGTGTTTTTTTAAATACAATTTTGCAAATAAATAATATTTCGTCATAAATCTTTGCCAAAATTTATTCCGTTATCTTTTTAATAAAAAAAAAAAAATCCAAATTAGTTTATAACCAAAAATTATAATTTTTAAAAAAAAATTATTTTCATTTTTATTTTATTTTTTTAAACTATTGTTTTTTATTTTTATTTTTTTACATACTGTCACCCTAGCAGTACAGTGTCACCATGGTGACACTGTACTACTTGTGGGGGGTGATGAAGATTTTTTTTTTTTTACACTGATTGCTTTTACACCCATATAGGATGTAAAAAGCAATCATTTCTCTTTCTCTCTGTCTGCATTCTTGCAGTCATTGAGAAATACTGAGTGAGCTGTGATTGGTCACAGCTTGTCACATGGTACAAGGCTGTTGTGAATAGCCTTGTACCATGTGACCTCCGTGATCATTCACAGATTTCACACGTAGTAACAATGATGTCACAAGTGACATCTTGCTTACTACTTTGCATGTGATCACTGATTGGCCAATCAGTGATCACATGATCGGGACCTCGTACAGAGGTCCCGTCCGACGATCGGTGTTTCACTGTGTCCGGAGGACACAGCGGGCACCGGATATTGCATGCTCCCAGGGAGCGCGTACAAGCAGGGTGCGGGGAGGCCGTTTTAAAAACGGCCCACCCAACCCTGCACTGCCAGCGTCCGGTCGTTTCAATATGCAACGGGACCGGTCGGGAAGTGGTTAATAATAGCATAGTATATTCAGCACAATGTCTGTTTAGTGTACATTAGGAGAAGTAAAGGTTAAAGCTGCTCCATAATGCAGGAAGAACCATGTGTATCAAGTGTCTCAGCTGTAACAATACGCCACAAGAAATGTATTTCCAGAAGCCATCATCGCAGAATAACAGCCTGGAGGTATAGCAGTCTTTGGTAACATTGTATATCAAGGGCCAGGTTAACAGTATAAACGGACAAGTGAAGGACCAAGTAAAGTCTGAAAAACAAACCAGGAATATATTATGTCAGGCAGCTTTAATAAAGACAAATATGTTTAAAAATGAGGTTAGTAATTACCATAAAATAATATTTGTGTAGAACCCTCCTAGGTAGGTGCTAGGGTTAGATAGATAGAATTAGTTGGCTGTACATTTAACTTTCACTCTGTAGTCAGAGTGGCTGTAAATATTTGTAAGGAAAAAAGCATAGTTAGCTCACTGTACTTGGTGAGCTGTGATCATTTAGTTAGGTCTGCTCTGTGTGCTCAGCTGCTGCCAGTCTGCCTAGCTTCCTCTGTTTCCAGAAAACTTTTGAGGTTTCTGGATGATAGGTGTGGAGTTATGCAGATGGCACCATGAATATTGATACAGTTTCAGCCTATCCCAGAGAGAGGGGCTCTAAGGCATGCTGTGAAACTGTATATATTCAATGAGCACACAGGGCTCTGGTTCTTTCCTGTCCAGGACTGATCCAGTCTGGGAGAGGGCACGTTGCCCTCCATAGGCAGCTACTGCCATGGGGCCTCGGGTGGGTGAGCTGGGGGCCTGAATGCCAAGATATCTGGGTTCTGCTATGCTGACTGAGTGGCTGTCTACTGAAGATCCGGTCTGGCATCATGGAGAAAGGCATCCAGCTGCTCTTGGGTATTGCGAGTACAGACATCCCTAAAGGATCTTAGAGACTGAGTGATGTTTACCCCCTCTGGTGCTAGGAACTCAACTGCAGGTCGAGAAAGGGAAACACTGGGTGGTGTTCCAAAGAGCTTTGTCCACCTGGCCTACTTTTAAAAGGGACACTGCTCTGTGGCCCTAAAGAAGTTACTGCTACTACTTTTACTACTGCCTTAAAGCTGAAGTCCACGGTTTGATTCCAGCACAGACTCTGATACAGCTTGCCCTGAAGTTTAGAAAAGCCCTCAAGTGTCCATCGTCCTTATTTTTGGAAAATTCCTGTCATCTCTCTCATCCCTATGCAAGTTCTACAAAAATAAAATCAACACCCCTAGACTGGTTATTGGAGAAAAACATGTGAATAAGCCTAAGTGCCTGGGTGTGGGGTCAAAGTAACTGGGGAGGACCTGGACAGTATTCCTGCAGTTCCTATGGGAGTAGTGCTACATATACAAGGACTGATACTCATATTAAAACCCGTGACCAGGAAAGAATGGGACAGAAGAACCAGACGGGCAGAATGCATACTACATTTTGCATCATGCAGCCCCCTTACTATGACTGTGTTGTTCAGTAATTTTTAATGGAATAAAGCCCTGGGATGTTCTATGGTTTACAAATTATATCACAGACAACAATAAATACAGGCATAAATACAACTAATAGTACTACTAGTACAGTACTTGATGTTGTTCCTACTATGATACAAATATGCTTACTTGCAGAGCTCTTTATAATTGTAGGATGGAGCAATTGGATACACTATATTTATTTTTTTTAGGTTAGGTTCATTTTAACAAATCGGCATTTAATCAATTTCAGTTATAGGTTACAGAACGTTGATAATACATCTGTGAAGCCTGAATAGCAACCATCCCAATGGCAGCTGGGTGTGATTTATGGAAAGATGAGATCATTATGCATGCAGATGAAAACAGAAAGACATGGACAGTTCCAGTACACTGGGAGATAGCGCACCCTGAAATTATGTAACCATGGCAACTGACAGGCAAAACACTGAACATCAGAAGAGTCATTGTTAAACGAATGAGAAAAGTTCTATGATAAGAGAAAATGTCAGTTACAGAACTTGAAACTTCCGAAGGGCTATGCTGATATGGTATTTTGTACAGAACTTTGCATGTCTTGGAATACAAAGGGAAAAGTTACATCAAAAGATTAGAAAAATGCCACTTTTTGCTTACAATAGCAAAGACTTTCATTGAAAGAACTAGCTTATCTTTTTTTTTTCTTAGTAATTGTTTAAAAACTGCACCCTGAAAACACTATATTTGGCTTGTGAATTGTACTATTTATATACCACTAATACATTATACACTGGTATACTTCCTAAATCCACATCCCTGCATCTGAAAAAGCTTACAGTGTACTGACCTTGCTATGTTCACACTAACACTGGGGCCATGCTAGGGGACAGCCAGTACACCCAGCAGAATATTTCCACATTTTTTTAATCTAGGGATATTGGGACGCCGGTTAAGAAGCAAACAAAGGAGGTTTCACTTAAGCCAGCCATACATGGATCAAAATTCGGTTGCTTCAGCAGGGACTGGCTGAATTTCAATCAATGTATAGTTAGTTGGTTATACACAAGGCAATCTATTAATCGGTTTACAACCAGCTTCTCATGTTTTTCCCCAAAGATCAGTGCCACTGGATATAACCGACAAAGCAGGAGAGGGCTCATTTAAAAGTGAATGGGGGAATCCGCTCTTTTTTTTCGCTGAAAACCATTGGTTAAACGAAAGAAAAAGAATCATATATGGCCTTAACCGTCACAGATAGATATGCAGAGTTTTATCAGAATGTAGAAAGATAACTGCAGTTGGGTATATTTATTCTTACGTACACAGCAAGTAAAAAATATATATACAGTGGGGATCGAACGTTTGGGCACCCCAGCTAAAAATTTGTATTAATATGCATAAAGAAGCCAAGGAAAGATGGAAAAATCTCCAAAAGGCATCAAATTACAGATTAGACATTCTTATAATATGTCAACAAAAGTTAGATTTTATTTCCATCATTTACACTTTCAAAATAACAGAAAACAAAAAAATGGCGTCTGCAAAAGTTTACACCACCCTGCAGAGTTAATATCTTGTACTGCCCCTTTGGTAAGTATCACAGCTTGTAAACGCTTTTTGTAGCCAGCCAAGAGTCTTTCATTTCTTGTTTGAGGTATCTTTGCCCATTCTTCCTTACAAAAGTCTTCCAGTTCTTTGAGATTTCTGGGCTGTCTGTCACGCACTGCTCTTTTAAGGTCTATCCATAGATTTTCAATTATGTTGAGGTCAGGAGATTGTGAAGGCCATGGCAATACCTTCAGTTTACGCCTCTTGATGTAATCCCCATAGATTTTGAGGTGTGTTTAGGATCATTATCCATTTGTAGAAGCCATCCTCTCTTTAACTTCAGCTTTTTCACAGATGGCATCAAGTTACCATCCAAAATTTGCTGAAATTTTATTGAATCCATTTTTCCTTCTACTCGTGAGATGTTCCCTGTGCCACTGGCTGCAACACAACCCCAAAGCATGATTGATCCAACCCCATGCTTAACAGTTGGACAGAGGTTCTTTTCATTAAATTCTGTGCCCCTTCTTCTCCAAACGTAGCTTTGCTCATTCCGGCCAAAAAGTTCAATTTTAACCTCATCGGTCCACAGAACTTGTTTCCAAAATGCATCAGGCTTGTCTATATGTTCATTTGCAAAGTTCAAACGATGATTTTTGTGGTGAGGACGTAGAAAGGTTTTCTTCTGATGACTCTTCCATGAAGACCATATTTGTACAAGTATCTCTTTATAATGGAATAGTGTACCACAACTCCAGTGTCTGCCAGATCTTTCTGGAGGGATCGTGCAGTCAAACGTGGGTTTGAATTGTTTTTCTCACAATCCTGCGAGCTGTTCTGTCTGATATTTTTCTTGGTCTTGCAGATCTTGCTTTAACTTCCACTGTTCCTGATGACTGCCATTTCTTAATTACATTTCGAACAGAGGATATTGACATCTGAAAACGCTTTGCTATCTTCTTAGCCTTCTCCAGCTTTGTGAGCGTCAACTATTTTCAGTTTCAGTTTTTCTAGACAACTGCTTAGAAGAACCCATGGTGCTGATTGTTGGGGCAAGGTCAGATGAGTCTGGGCATTTAAAACCTTTGAGATTGACATCACCTGGTCTTCCCAGACGATGATTGAGAACAATCCATGACACTGGCAGGTCTCAGTTTGGCAAAGGGGGCAGTGCATGCTATAAATTCTGCAGGGTGCCCAAACTTTTGCAGACGCCATTTTTTTTGTTTTCTGTTATTTTGAAAGTGTAAATGATGGAAATAAAATCTAACTTTTGTTGACATATTATAAGAATGTCTAATCTGTAATTTGATGCCTTTTGGAGATTTTTCCATCTTTCCTTGGCTTCTTTATGCACATTAATACAAATTTTTAGCTGGGGTGTCCAAACTTCCGATCCCCACTGTATATCTGATAATGTCAAGTGGCAAAAAAAATACATAGAGTAAAACGCTACACAGCCAAGTTCAATTCAATGCTAATGGTACTGCTGTCATAAAACGCTATATACACGTTTATCTCTGAGTGTTTTAGGCTGGCCATACACCAGTAGACTGTTGAATGAATATTCGTCAGAACATTCTTAGTCCATTCAATACTTGTTGAATGACATTCAAAAGTGCTTCAAAGTTTCATTTGTTTTTAACATAGCAATATTGGAATGGGTGTAATTTAACCCCTTCACGCGAGCGTACGCAAATATGCGGCCTCTCAGCGGCTGGGCATATTTGCGTACCATTTGTAAACAAACATGTGCTGAAGCGCTTGCCCTGCACGCTCCCAGCACATGTGTAGGCATCCCACGGAAAGGTCCTGATCTTTTCTTGCGATTGGGACCTTTCTCATCATGTGATCGCCATCACATGACCCTAAACCCTGCCCCACCTCCCGGTGTCAGAAACCACTTAAAAGCGAGGCGCCGGCGTGAAGGGGTTAATGAGCAAAGACTGTATACACTGTTAAAAATTCAGTAATTTCAGAAAAAAAATTCCATTCTGCTCCATCATGTTTTCCTGTCACTATGGTAAAAGAATGAATGTGGATTTGACCTCATTACCAATTTTAAATTTGTTAATATAAAAAAGTTCAGATCAAATTCTTCTAGTGTACGGCAAGCTTTAGAACCTTGGGGATGCTCAATATAAATATGAGCATCCATAGAATTGCAGTGAGGGATGAAATAAGTCCACATGTCCCAGGTTTAGCTTTGAGTTTGGAAACTGCACTTTGCA